ATAGAACCAGATAACTGATTGTCACGAAGGTCAAGAATATTAAGTGAACTTAACCTTCCTATTTCACTAGGAATAGAACCAGATAACTGATTGTCTTCAAGGCGAAGATCAATAAGTGAACTTAAGCTTCCTATTTCACTAGGAATTGAACCAGATAGCTCATTTTCAAAAAGGTAAAGATATTGACAATTGCTTAAATTTCCTATTGATGCAGGGATTGGACCAGTAAAGGAATTCAATGCTAAATGACCCACAAGAAGTGATCTCATCATTCCAACTTCTTGAGGCAAGGAACCGTTGAGGTTATTGCCAGTGACTGCAAGGTAAGATACATTGCTTAAATTTCCTATTGAAACAGGAAGTGAACCACTAAGTTGGTTCCAAGCAAGGTCAAGTACGGTAAGCAAACTCAACCTTCCTATGTCCTTGGGAATATTTCCAGAAAAATGATCATTAGTAGACAAATTGAAAAAAGTGAGTTTGGACAAGTTAACGATGTCAGAAGGAATGGCCCCATAAAGTGAATTATTACCAACATCAAAGCGAATTAGGTTGGGGAAGGCCAAGAAGTTAAGGTTGTCGAGTGTACCTTTGAGACCAAAATTTGAAAGGCTTATGTTGGTGATGCTTCCAACTTTGTCACAAGCAATTCCAACCCAACTGCAGGGAGTTTCCCCAACCCAGGAAGAGAGGAAGCTTTGGCTTTGGTTGTCAAGACTAGCTTTCCATTTGAGAAGAGTTTCTGTTTGATTAAGTAAAGAAGTGGTGGAAGAAGCAGAACTAGAAACAAGAAAAGACTGAAGTAGCAGGAGGAAGAACAAGGGTGATGCCATAATACCAATGATTTAGAATGCCTTGGGGGTACAATGCATGCTTTTTGCAATGACAGATATTTATACACGTAAATGAGTTAAATAGGACGAAACAAGTGGGACATTACGACCAACATTTCATTATTTTTAATTTTATGTTACTGCTCAAAGAATCTGTCCCAAGAGAAGAGATAAATAAATTTCAACATTTTAAACTTTTTTTTTCATCATTTGCTTTTATTTAATATTTTGCAAATAAAGCACCCCACCTTCTTGAACAATTAAAGGCGATGATGAATTCTTGGACACTTCACTTGTGGAAAATAAAGTAAGCGAGAAGACAGTAGGCGGTGAACTGAAGGCGGTGAACTGAATTACTTCATTTGTTGCAATTTATTCGTCATATTAACACTTTCTAAAAAAGAATTGTTTCATTTTTTTTTATCAATTTTTATTTTAAATAAAGTATTAATTTTTTTTTTCAATTTTGCTATTAATATTTAACACTTCTAAACTTCCTTTATTAACTGAATCCTCCTTTTAAAATCAAAGAATTATCAAGTAATAATTATATTTTTATGAATTTTATAGTTTTTAGATTTGATTTAATTGTTCCATTTTACCCATTTATGATAATAAAAAAATTCATTACAATAATTAGGAATAATTTTTTTATTTTCACCCTTACAATTATACAAAAAAAAAAAAAATCCTAAGGCATTTTTGTCTCTTTTGAGATAAGTGTAAAATTGAAATATTAGCATTTAATGTTAGGTTTTTCTAGGGTATATGTTAATGATGCATTTATTGTACTCATTCACTATAATTTGTATGGAAAATAATGAAAATAAACTTTATTTTCCACACTTAAGTCATGTGAAATAATTTATTTGGACTGTTAATAAAGATAAAGTTAACTTTTATTTTTTATATAAATTAATAGTGAAAATGTGTAATAAATGTATCATTACCTTCAATATTTTATTAAAATGAAAAGTAAAACAACTAAATCATATTGGAAGGAGTAATTTTATTTATAATATTATCAAACAAAAGCAAAAGTATAACAAGTAAATTAAAATGGAGAGATCAATAATTTGTTGATTCGATTTAAAGAAATTTAGTTTCTTTTAAATAAAGTCTCAAGTTTAAAAAACTTTGTAAATAAAAAAATAGACATTAGGAGACCTTTTTCTCTTATGACATCCACCGTAACTCAACTTCAAATTAATCAGAGTCGAATGTAACTTTCACATACCGAGGGGTTTAGTATGAAAAAAAAATGGAGAGAGCATAATAAAGCCTTGGTGTACCGTCCATGGGATTATCTACCAATTTGCAAAAACTATTCAAGTTAAGATTAAGAAATCTGTTACAATGTGTGGCTGGATGCATATAATGCTTAAACAAAATCTTTTAAAAATTGCTCTGGCCTAAGAGATGACTTAAGCTAGAAAGGTGGATGTAACCTGGAAGATCTAAGCAATAAGCATAACTGACATTGACAAAGAAATCCATTAGAATTAATTATTTTTTTAAAACCTAGTTCAGTTCAAACTTAAATCCATTAATAGATATTCTAAACTTGGTAACAATAATTTATGAACAAATTTGTAAAGACTACTCAAGTTAAGATTCAGAAATTCATAAAAACTATTTCTTTACGAGCTAATTCACTTCATTCAAACTTAAATCCTTGAATCCATTAGGGAACAAGTAAATAACATTAATGCTTTAAGATACAAATGTAGGTACTTTTCTCATGGTTGCAACTTACACAAACCCGAAGACAATTCAATTAATTCCTTTATTCATGCCTCATTCCACACCTTAGATTCAAATTCTAACAGCATCCCTAGGCAAAAAAGTCCTTGCTCAATACTACTGGAAGCAAAAAGTGGGGCATAACAACAGAAATTTCTTGACAAAATATTCACACAACACTGTTAGCTTAATTAAGTCACTCTTAGTTTTCAACCTTTTTTTTTCATCATTTTCACTTTTATGCTCAAAGATTGTCTCCTAGGACATACACTACAGAAGCCACCATGAATTCTTTGACAGTGGTTCTATTGGGAAGCTCCAATTGGCGGAAAATTAACAAGTACACAGAGAGCACAACGGACATTGCCAAACCTTCAATTGGTTACCATGTCACGCCAGGCTCTTGAAACTTTTAATGAGACCTTAACTGTAGCCTAATTTGTGCACCTTTACCAAGGTTAAGACCTTGATTCTAGTTTTCGTAAAATCAATCCCCTTTCCTCTAAAATCCCCCATGTTAAAAAAAAAAAAAAAACCTGTAGCCTAATTCTTTTCTTTTCTTTCTTTTATTTTTTTTCTTGGACAAAGGGAAATGTGAGGATGGGAAAAAACAAAGAAAAGACAAGATATAGTTCTGTTTATTTTTAGGTGAAGCACTCCTATCATCTACTTAAGATTATTTACCGTTCATCATAGAAATGAAGTAGTTTAAGGACTGCTCACGCCCATTGTTTTCTCCTTTTTACTTTCCTGTTATACTCTTTACTTAATTTTAACTATATTAGTTTCAACTGTTGAAATATCTTTAATGTTAGAATGAAATGGGTCATTGAAGCCATCATTTTCTTAATGTTACTTCTTTCTCCATGTTTTTTTTTCCATTCTTTTTCCTCTAGTTCCGTGTTATTAGAGGTGCACCAAAATTACACTCACACCATTGAAATTTCAATTTGTAATATTTTCTACAAGTTTCATCCAATAACTCTTAGAAAAGACCATTCCTTATTGACCACACACAAGAATTAAATAAGTGAAATCAAGCCTTAATTTTATGAATAACCATAAGAGCCAATTACAAGTTTACACTATAAGAAGATTTAGTATCAAAGTCACATTCACACCATTGAAATTTCAATTTGTATTATTTTCTACATGTTTCATCCAACAACTCTAAAAAGACCATTCCTTATTGACTAGACACAAGAATTAAATCAGTGAAATCAAGCCTTAATTTTATGAATGACCATAAGAGCCAATTACAAGTTTACATTGTAAGAAGATTTAGTATCAGAGTCATACCGTTGAAATTTCAATTTGTATTACTTTTTACAAGTTTCCACCCAACAACTTTTAGAAAAGACCATTCCTTATTAACTAGACACAAGAATTAAATTAGCAAAATCAAGCCTTAATTCTATAAATGACCATAAGAGCCAATTACAAGTTTACACTGAAAGAAAATTTGGTACCAAAGTTACACTCACACCATTGAAATTTCAATTTGTATTATTTTCTACAAGTTTCACCCAACAACTCTTAGAAAAGACCATTTCTTATTGACTAGACACAATAATTAAATAAGTGAAATCAAGCCTTAATTCTATAAATGACCATAAGAGCCAATTACAAGTTTACATTGTAAGAAGATTTGGTACCAAAGTCACACGCACACCATTGAAATTTCCATATGTATTATTTTCTACAAGTTTCACCCAACAACTCTTAGAAAAGTTGATTCTTTATCAAACTAAATCAGCAAAATCAAGACTTAATTCTATCAAAGACTGTAATAGTCAGTTACAAGTTTCCACAGTAAGAAGATTCAGCCATCACTCATCATCATCCTCTCAATTGATTTTCAATGCTCTAAAATATTTCCTTAATTCTCTCCTTGATTTCATTGATTCATAAGTGTATGTATAGAGTTATGAATAACATGTCACCAATTTCTCTTGAAATATTTTCACCTTTTTCATTATTAAATTGTAATGCTTTATTCAATCAAAATTAATTCACAACAATATTTCTTAAAAGTGAAATCTTACGATAAATACATGGAATCAAACCAAGTGGATGAATACAAATTCCCCTTATCACACTATATGAAAAGAGTTAAGCAAAATTATAATCATTGTCACTTTAGATTATAATATTTCTTTATAAGTAAACATTATGTGTGAGTCATTTTCCTCACTTAATTGTGAACCGATTAGGGTAAGCTCATTTTTTTTTTTAATTTGGTACAAAGAGAGTTAGTTGTTGCAGAGTTTGAACCTTTGGGTTAAATGGCAAGGAGTGAAGTGAACCATGCTAGAGATATAGGTTTAAATTTCTCTATTGCCATTTAGGCACAAATGGCTCACACTTGTCACATTCTCCACCTTCAAGAGAATATAATTGTTCTTATCTAGATAGAATTAACGTGTCTTTATAAGAATTAGTCACAATAGAGAAATGATCCCTCCACCTAAACCCTTAATATATTTTTTTATATTTTTCCTATAATTCAAACTTCAAAAATAAAATTTTGTAAAAAATTAAATTATAATATTATTTTTGATATTTTTCAAAAGTTCAGGAGATGGCTGCCTCCGTCCTATACTGGCTCTGTCACTGATTGACAGATTGATTGGAAAAATTTGTGAAGACTTTTAAAGTAAATGCATGCACATGACAAGAAGAGATATAACCCCCTACCCTCTAATAAGAAGACTTAAGCCGACAACATTAATTGACTGGAAAAGTTTACAAAGAAAGAGATTTAGGAACACGCAAGTGACGCAACTACTACTTTTTTGAGTTGATTAGCTCAATTTAAATTTAAATCCTCGAATTGAGTAGGGAACTCATAAATAGCAATAATGCTCTTAGATAGGTTTTTTTTTTAATAGTTATAAATTGCATAAATTTATACATTTTAATAAGTCACTTGTTCATATAATCATTTTATACATTAAATTTAACTTGAAAAATTAAATTTATTAATAAACAAGCATTGTTTTAAAACCAACTTGCCATAGCTTAGGATATATATATGGTTAAGTATGTAATTCTGTACTTAGACCTTCTCTTGCCATTTTGTTGCTGCAATTCACGTTACTTCGTTTTTGTCTTCTTCTTTTGACAACATGCTTTTATTGTTATGATGATTAAGGTAAATAATCCTCTTCAAATTTTTCACAAAACCAGACATTTAAATAATTAATTTAATAATTAAAGGTGAATAAACATCGACATAAAGTCACTAATATTTTACTTTTTACACATTAAAAATCATTATAATGTGTAAAGTAAAAAATTGTAAAATGACATTATAGGGAGGCCCAACCCGTCACCCAAATAACTTTCAACAAGAAACAGGACACTTTCCTCTTTCATTTTTCCATTTTTCTTTGAGATATATAATAATTTCGAAAAGGTGTGACTACAATTTTCTACTTTCCACACATTATCAGTCATTATCGTGTGGAAAGTACAAATTAGTAATTAAAAGGCGTTATTGAGAGGGCCCATCACCCAAACAACTTTCAAAAACAAGCAGGACACTTCTCTCTTTCTTTTTCCTTTTTCTTTATTTTTTTTTCCTTTTCTGAAATGTATCTATAAAGCATTTACTAAGAAACAGTAAGTGATGAACATACTGATATGTAACTAACAAGAAGACTTAAGCAAGGGTCATCATAATGTTCTCAACCTGGAAAGATTGACTAGGGAAATTTGCAAAGACTATTCAAGTGAGCTTAAGAAATTTCGTAACTACCCTTTTTTGTGAGTTGATAAGCTCCATTCAAACTTAAATCCTTGAATCAAATAGGGAACTCGTAAATTGTTGGATTTTGAGATTACAAGTGTATTATAAATGTCACTTTTTTTAAAGTTATTTTCGTCCTAACCATTTCAGTATGCAAGTTTTATTAAGAATTGCTTATTTAAAACTAATAAATATTCTAAATAAGTAACAATAGTTCAAGATCAAATTTACAAAAAAAACTATTCAATTCAGTGTGTGGTGTATGCATAATGCTATAAAAGTATTTTGTCTTACAAAATGACTTAAGCTAGAAAAGTTGACATGACTTGAAAGATCAAAGCAATACGTTTAATTGATATTAAAAGGAGACCGGTCACTGTTGAGGTGACTTGAGAGATCAAAGCCATAAGTTAATTGATAATGAAAAAAGAGTATTCACTCTAACGCACTCAATCCGGCTAAAATGATTGAATAAATTTGCAAAGACTATCCCAAGTCAAGATGAAGAAATTTATAAGAATTATTTATTTAAAATTAATAGATATTTTAAACACAAAAATAATAACTCAATATCAAATTTATAAAGACTATTCAAATCAACATTTGATGTATGCATAATGCTTAATAAAAGAATTCTGTCCTACAAAATGACTTAAGCTAAAAAGGTTGATATAACTTGAAAGATCAAAGCAATAAGTCTAATTAGCATTAAAAGGAGATACATCACTGTTGACGTGACTTGAAAGATCAAAACCATAAGTTAATTGATAATGAAAAAAGACTATTCACTCTAACGCACTTAATCCGGCTAAAATGATTGAATAAATTTACAAAGACTATTCCTAAGTTAAGATAAAGAAATTCGTAAAAATTATTTATTCAAAATCAATAGATATTTTAATCACAATAACAATGACTTAAGACGAAATTTCCAAAGACTTTTCAAGTAATGTGTGGCGTATGCATAATGCTTAATAAAAATATTTTGTCTTATAAAATAACTTAAGCTAGAAAGGTTGACGTGACTTGAAAGATCAAAGCAAAAAAGTCTAATTGGCATTAAAAGGAGCTAGTCACTGTTGACGTGACTTGAAAAATCAAAGCAAAAAAGTTTAATTGGCATTAAAAGGAGCTAGTCACTGTTGACGTGACTTGAAA